ATGTTAACTTTGTGTATTTCCATTTGGTGCTCTGGTTTCCCAATGTAATCCAGAAAATGTCTATAACTTGATTAGAGATGTATTCCCTTCTTGGGGGGTACTTCCCTCACATCCTAGAAATGCTGGGAGCTTAAACTGAGATCTGTGGCTTTTTACCAACTGCTCTAGTTTTGCCATATTACAGAACCTTCCCTTAGTTAGACTACGGTATATATATCTATATATATCTATATATATAGATATATATATAGATATATATAGATATATCTATATATATCTATATATATATATATATATATATATATATATATATATATATAAAAATTACCTTGAAACTAATTTAAAGGCTGTAAATCTAGCTACAGACATGATATTCTTGGCTTTTTTCTATGTGAAAATTATTCAAAGAGGCTATAATGCAATTCTAGACTTTAAATAATATACCAGCTCTTCTAAAAATGCTTTTTAATCTTTTTAAAACAACTCTGGTTATCCGAACCGACTTTGATTGTAAAAACTTCATTCTGTCTAATTTCAGGCTCACACTGAGGGGACAACAACGTCTTTTCATTCCATATATGTAAATATCTCGTTTGAACTACTGATTAATATTCATTTCTGTATCCATGAAGCTTTACAGGCCAAGACAAGCCGAAGTAAGATTCTCCATTCCCCTACCAAAAGCTCTGTTGCCACCATTACTGCCCTGGATGAAGTAATACTTCTGATTGTTTTTAACAGGACGTGTGGGGAATCAAGGATCACTCGATATAAAGATAGATTGTGTTTTTTTTTCCTGAAAAGGCCCAATGATTATCATACAAGTGAAAGTTTTGAAATTACATTAAAGTAGAGAATGTTAAAATAAAAATACACCAGGAAAGATTGTGGACCAATAGTTAAAGGAATGCTAAAAAAACCCATAAAGATTAAGAGCCATCCACAGTATTATTTATTTCCTGGTTTTATTCTAATGTAGAAATGTTTTGCCAGTGCTAACTGAAAGACTGAGGAAAAAGGGGACAAAGGGTTTGTGTAAATATGAAATCCAGCCTGAAATGTTCTTAAACCTTCCTTGTATTATTGAACTGTAGTTTCTGCCCTGAAGCTGTGGCTCTAATGTGTAAGATGGGCAACAGCAGAGCAAACACTGAACAGCTGCTGTTTGGTAACATAGATTTTCTCTCTAAGTCCCAGGGCCTTCCTGTTTATCATGGCGCTTGCTGTGCACATGTCAGTATTTTTGTTACGAGTTTGCATAATATAGCTATTTTTGTGTGGAAATGTGTTTGCAAGTGTAATATAAATCTGAATTAAACTAAGTTTTGGAAACAAGGTTGGATCATCTATATGTCTCTTTTGCTGTTAAATAAAATAAAGAAGAGAATAATCTTCTCTTTAGAGTTTCTGATCCTTACATTTTTTCCCCCTACATTTTAGGCAGGATATTTTAGACATTGTTAATCAAAAGAAACAAGACAGTCGTACAATTAAAAAGTGAAATTACACCAAATATAAGAACCTTTAACGTTTATTCTTGCTCCTTCTGTTTTAGCACTGCTTCCTGATTATGAGACATAAGGAGAAATCTAAGTCATAAACAAACATGAACGTTAGACCTTTTTTTTTTCTATTTCTTTTATTACAATTTTACAATGCATTATAAAATAATAACCCAACCCCAAATGTACAATATCTGTTTGTTCTTTGCAATAATCCCATAAAATCTCCTTTGCAGAAACAATTATGCATCAGCTGAGTTTGTATACAGCAATAGTTTAAACAGTTTTATTTGCAAAGTGTTTAACATGTGGTAATGGTTTAAAACATCCAGCTGTGTTGGTTTAAGGTCATTTAATGATATGAGATGGCGCACAATGGAACAAATCTATCACCTTCCCTCGGTCGTTCCTGTGCACTGCTGGTCAGCCACCTGAACAAATATTGCTAGAAAGACAAATTTGATATATATATATATTTTTTTTATTGTATATCGAA